TGTTTACTCCTCTTCTGTTTCAATATGTAATCTAGGAATTGAATCTAAACCCCTTTTAAGTTGCAGCCTCGACAGTTTAAATGTATCCTTAATAAATGTTGATGATTACCTACACTCTTTTGTCTTTAATTTGTAATGTTCTGTTAAAAAGGTTAGCAAGATGTGTGTGATTTTGGGGGAGGGGGGAAGGGGGTTGTTTGTTTTTTTAAGCCATGTACTCTGCTCAAGAAGCTTATAACACAAGACAGTTTTGTGACTGATCCAGGTTTGGGAATAACTGAACAAGGTGGGAAGCCTATGAGATGAAGTTATTTTTCTTTGTGGGAAATATAATGCAGATGAGGTCTCTGGTCATGGCACTCTGATGCATCTCTCTGTTAAATGAAGCCTGATTTTTAAGCACACATTTCCCATTAACTTCAGCTGTTGTTTTAAAATCATGCCTTTAATCTTTTATTTTACTTTGCTAGTAGTAAAGTATATATTTCCTTGTAAAAAGCCTAATATAAGAAGAGTTAACAAAAGACATTAAAGAATTGGTAAAATAAGAGATGAGTAACGGTAATAGTGAATGTCAATCTTAGCTCTTAAGGTTTTCATACGTGTGTCACCATATGTATGTGTGTGTGTGTGTAATATATATATTGGAGACTGATCAAACTGCCCTACATATTTTTGTGCATGTGAAGTTACAAGATGGGCTGGTATTGAAATACCCGACTCATACCTTTTAAAATCCTGATGTTACAAATATCTTTTTTTAATGAGACAAAGAGAAAACCAGACAATAGAACGACAGAGAAAAAAACGTGATAGTGGTTCATCTGTTCAGTTATTTGATGTTCTTTTTTGTTACAGTTTCTGGGACTTTGCATTATCCTGTGTGTGTTTCTGATTTTTAGCTATTGTGGCGTAGTATTAAGGTGTAGAAATACAGTTTCTGAAACACCCTCTTTTTCTAACAAAACGATGCACTTAAGAGTACATGAAACTCTGAGACAATGCCAGTTTCAGGACTCAAATTCCTTTAATTTCTGAATGTATTTAGATGTTTCTGGTATCTTCCAAATATTAAAAAATAAATACTTTTCCCTGCATCATGTGAATGGTAACCCTCGTTTGGTCAAATGTGCCTTCCTACTTAGTTCCCTGCCAACAGATGAAATAATAGCAGGTGAAGCTTTAGTCCATGGACACATTTATTTACATTAAAACTGTCATTCCACAGGTAAATACAATGCTGAAAAAAAAGTTAATAATTCCTACACAATCCACAAGGGGGCGTGAATGCCTAATATATGCAGGAATTAAAACAGTTTTGCATTTCAAAACTGACCACCCGTAACAGATTAGCAGATTAATATTTTGCTCTAAAGGATCTGGCCTTTACTGTTGACATCAATTTATATTCAACCCAGACTTTTACAGTTGTAAAAGTCATTGGGACTATAAAGTTTACAATAGATGTCTGTTCTTGGTGTACTCTGTACAGCACCCCATAAACAGCAACTTTTCTTGCAAAACCCATCTAGTGCTGAAATGGCTTTCTCAGCACCAGTAAAGTCAGCATGTCAGCTACATGTTTTTTCAATCAAAAGCCTAATTATTTTATTAATCAGCACCTATTTTTTCTGATGAAGGTATTTTGTGTTGTGCTGCAGCTTATCACTGATCTCCCTTCCAAATAAAGCAGTGTGGCTATTTATGGACATGGCTTAAACAACTGCAGATCTCATGTACCATATTAGAACTTTTTGAAAAGCAGCCAAAGTACAGAGGTCAAGTTTCCTGTACTATAAGCAACTTAATAGGACACAAGATCACAGCATGGCTTGTAAATATCTGGCAGTACAGTAGCTGGTAAAGTACAAAGTTGTACATATTTCACTAATCACTTGCTTCAAACAATAAATTTTAACAAATTTATAAACACCATGAAATCCAAATAGGATCAACTCAAGGGCCTATTACTGCTTCAATTGAAGTCAAGTGAGAATCTTGTCACCGGCTTCAAGGCAACAAGATCAGGAACAGGCCCCACAGGTTGCTTTGGTAGATACTATGTAAAAGTGTTGCAGATGAAGAGATTTTTGTGTTAGAGATAAAGAGATGACATCCACTGTGTACTGTGTTAGAAGCTAAGTGACAACGTGGGTGATGTGATCATGTTCTACAGTTTTCTCTGTGCTGCAATATGATGGTTCCACATTTTTTTTTTAGTTTTTCCTCAAAACCAGTGCTTGTGGTAGCCCTCTATCCGACCATTTTTCAGAGGAAGTGAATCTCAGCAATTGTACAATGAGGTGTAAGGGAATAGATATTTTTCTTATGTGCCCATAAACCTGGCTATTTATGGAAAAGATAATATGAAAGGATTTAATGCTGAACACAGAAAGTTGTGATGCTTTACCCCAAAATTAATGTATTTACCAAGTGAATAAGACAAAAATGCATATTAGCAACCCCAGAAGACTGTCTCCTATTTTTAGGAGACCATCAAAGAGGATTTAAATACCAATTCAAGATCACACTTGGAATAGTTTGAAGAGCAATTTTCTTGGTCAGGTGATTAGAATCGGGGTGCAAAATTCTAATGAGAAGAGCCAATGATGCAATGTGCAGGGCAAACAGCTTTGAAATGGAAAAAAGGGATTTCTTTAGTGCCAACTTAGGCAACAACTCTTCAGACTACATCACAGATTCTCTTAAACACCTTATAAGTTACCGGAAAGTTGATAATTTATGAGTTAGTATCACTCGATGATAAAAGTAATGTCTGAAACCATACAGTTGCCTTTTTTAAATACTTAAATGCTGAGACTGGCCTAAGTATAAATTTGCACATATTGAGAAGGGCATCATTACACCACTTTTGTCCAGTTCCAGACCAGTCTGACTTTTTTGATGATGTATGTATTTTATAAATATTAACCAATATGAATATCAGCAAGATTTTCCACATTGATAAAATCAGATTTATTACTGCATTTTTTTAAAACGGGTCAAATCAAGTATCACTTTTACCACCAGCTGGGACAATGTTACCAATATTAATCAGCTTAGAATGTGCAGCTTGATTCCAAGTTTTACTGTCATTTTTATGCTCACACTATGTGGGGATATTCTCCTGTTTGCACACCTGGGTTTACATGACAGCCACATCATAGCTTTATTCTTTTCCATTTTCACGCTGTTTTTCTTTTTAACTGAAAAGGAAAAGCCAATGAAACAAATGGGAGAGAATGGTGTCATTTCAGTATTAAATTTTGGATACACTAAGTGGATTATAAGCATTACTAAGGACTTGATCCTGCACTCCTCACTGAAGTAATGACTTAAATGGCAGATTTGCCAAAGAGACCACAAGATTTGGATCTTCAAGAGCAAGGTACCAATTGCATTATTGTCACACAAGGATGTTCTCCTTCCAAAGATCTGAAGTAAATTAATATGAATTCATTTCAGTAGGATTAGCTGGCAGTCATGTCTGAAAAAAATAGATTAGTTGTCCCACAGTGGAATGTTTTCACTGATCAATGCTGGTTATTTCCCAAGTCACTGCAAATGATTTTGATGTGATACAAGTCTTGTAGGTTGATATAGCAAACTTCCATGTAAACCAAGTGATTGGAGATAGCATAGGAAGAAAAAAAAAAAAAACCACCCCACATCCTCACCAATTTAGGTAATTCTTCAAGCAGGATATAATAAAAATACAAAAGAACAAAGTCTACTATATAAATGAAAGAGGATTTATAAAATTACAAGTTTAATAGATAAATATAATAAATACTTTATGCATCATAATTCTGGACAACTACATTTAAAGCAAGTATGTTGGCAAGTCACAAAAAAGTTGCTTCTTGGCAACTTTATTTTCTGATAATACCACATTGACAGGCATGTTACAATGTTATTTAATGAGGCTTTATGCTGTAATTCTGTTTAAATCCTGCTGTCCTACTGAGCTCACCATGACACATACATGGGTGCAGTGCACTTTCTATTTGGGAATGTTTTCTTGCACACCAACACAGTTTTACAGGTAGATGTTCTACTTACCAAGGAGAAGGGGGAAGGTTAGGGGGGGGGGGAGGGGGGGGGAAAAAAAAACCGGGAAATGACTTCTAGAAAAACTAAAGCATTTCTTAACTTTTTATTGACATTGGCAAATTAAAATAGAATAAATTAACAATATTTTCTCAAAAAAATGTTTTGTACAAAAATACTGTCAAAATTTCCTAAAAAGCTTTCAACACAGTAGTATCTTTTCATGTACTGAATAAACTATGTTATATTAGCACAGTGTCAAAATGCTGAAGACAGAACAAAATAAAAGTCTGTGAAATGTTTGCCACTGACTAGTCAACATTCCATCCACACCATATTATTGTCTGTACATATGGGGGAAGGGGAATGGGGAGCAGACTTTAAGTTAACAGTATTACTCTTCCTGATCTGAGAGGGTTTGGCCCAAGGCTGTTAAGCTTCCAGTTTAAGCGTACTGAAAAAAAAAAAATAAATGTAATAGCCTGCACTGCGATGCATAGTTAAAAATTAAGCAAGATGGCAGCGTTTTGTGCAGTAATATCTGCCCTTCAAAGTTCATGCAACCCACTAATGCAACGGTTTGGCCCTGCTCACGCGGAATTTGAGTGGCTTGGAAATCATCACCTACAAAATCCACAAGATGAAGCAATTTGCCAAGGTTAATATCTAACAGTTCAGCCCTGTGGACATGATGCGCATGTTACTGTGAAGAAAGTAATGGGGGGTGGGAAAGAAGGAGTGGGGGGAGAGGAAGCAAAGGAGAGAGAAAGAGAGGGGGAGAGAAAGATGGGGCAAGGGAAACAGAAGGTGATAGAAAGGGGGGGAAGATGGGGAAAGAGAAAGAGGCAGGGAAAGGGGGAGAGAAAAAGAAGGTGGAAAGATGGAGAGAAAGGGAGGGGGAGATAAAGAT